CTTCTCTCGGCGGCTATGTAGGATGGCCGGCTATATTAAAATAATGCGTTAAAAACTCTTCCCCACCGCCGCGGGGCCTGCACAGGAGGCTAGGTCTGCTCTGCTCCTGTCACTAAATACTAGTAGTACGAGTATATGTATGTGAATGTGTTTGAGAAACTTTATGCATTTGCTTTGCAAATATAATGTTACTTCTCTAGTGTTATGTTATGTCATGCTATCTTATGTTATGCTATGTTATGTTATGTTATGTTATGTTATGTTATGTTTCGTTACGTTATGTTATGTTATGTTACGTTTATGCTATGTTATGTGATGTTATGTTATGTTATTACCTTCGCCAAGAAGGTTATGTTTTCAGTAGCGTTTGTCTGTGTGTGGGTGTGTTTGTGTGTGTGTGTGTGGTTTAGCAAGATAACTCGAGAAGCAGTGGATGGATTGAAATGAAACTTGGTAGGTGGGTAGGTCTTAATGAGACCTAGAAATGATTAGATTTTGGGCCCCCTGGCGGCTTTCCTTGGTACTGCAGCAGAACTTCCGGTTTTGATATCTCCTGATCTGGACATGCTAGGGTCACGAATTTTGGGTGGTAGAAAGCTCTTGGGCTAGGGAAGAAGTGACGTGAGTTTGGGCCCCCTAGCCGTTTGTTCTGGAACTGCAGGAGCATTTGTTGAAAAAAAATTGAAGGACGATAACTCAAGAACCGGTCGACGTATTGTCGTGATTTTTGGTATGTAGGTAGCTGAAGGAATGCTTGACATAATCAGATGGCAATTATGCAAATCGGGAGCTAATTTGCATAATTAATGAGGAAATTCTATAAATCTGCTTTGTTCGATAATAGAACTATGAAGCACTTGTGACATCTACTTGAGAACGAGAAAAACATCTGAAGATATAGATTATGTAAATGAGGACCTAATTTGCATAATTAATGGCAAATTCTTATAATTCCATAGTTGTAACTGCTGCACCCCAAATTTCATACTTGCCACATTTGGAAGTTAAGTGAAGGTGAACATCAATAAACATAATTTATTCAAATCATCACCTCATTTGCATAATTTATGAGGAAGTGCTATAATAGCCTTTTTCTTATGATAAGGCTGTCATTGGATGGAGAATATGATCAACTGATATAATCCATGCAAATGAGGCTCTTATTTACAAAATCAATGATTAAAATTGTATAATTCGTCACCCGCAAGGGTTAACATCATTTGGCGAAGGTATGAGATTGTGAAACTCTTGTGTTATGTTATGTTATGTTATGTTATGTTATGTTTATGCTATGTTATGTTATGTCATGTCATGTCATGTCATGTTATGTTATGTTATGTTATGTTATGTTGTGTTATGTTATGTTGTCCCGACAGGAGCACGGCTACAAGGGCCGTGTGAAGGGCCGTGTGAGTAAGCTGAAGGACGGGCACGTTCAGCTGGTCCTGGTGGACAACGTGCCCGGGGCTCAGAACGGCATGGCGGCGGGGGAGGTCGGCAAACACATCGCCTCTCTCATCGAGGAAGGTAACCTCGATTTGCATAATCTCCAAGCAGATGTTTGGGGTGGGAAATCGTATCGTTTTTCGGCTTGTGGGTCATTAAACGTATCTGTCAGAACACACGTCAATTATTCATAGATGGCAACTTGACAGAAGCATGGAGGAACGTGACGACTCAAATTCCTCCATGCTTCGCCTCGTCCAAATTATAGTACTACTTAGGTGTCCTCTGGGCTAATAAGACTTAATTTTATGGATGGCACACCGGACGAAAACCGAGATTTCCCTCGTGGATATCTATGGACACGCAGTAGGAAATCCGAAGTTTCCGCGGGTTTCCACTGATTTCCAAGGTGCACACGGGGCGTGTCCGCTGTGGGAAACTTGTGGAAAACATGGGAAACGGACCGCTCAAATTTCCCTTTCGTGTCCTATGGTGGAAATTTGCGTGCACATCATCGGGATATCTGTGTACACGTATGGAAACTTCAGGTGTTTGCCTTTGTTCCACGAATGACTTATGCATAATTTAGCGGCAATTATCGTAATTATCTCCCCCACTTTGTGAAACCAAATGCGCATGCGCGAGCCGACACACCCGGCCACGCCTCAAATATACCTTTTGTAATGGAAAGTAGCATCATGGCCTCCTATTCCCTTTACCCCCCCCTTATTTTGGTATTTTTGTTGCCTTTATTAGTTGTAAATGGTGCTTGGGCTTTGTGTGAGTGCGTGTTTGTGTTTTTTTTTTTGTTTTTTTTTGGTCTGGTCATCAGAAGGTTCCGATCTGTATGTATTTTATGCACCTCCCAAATTTCCAGTGTGCTTTGGCGAGTCTCTCAGCTCAGGCTCATCTGAAACAAACTGTAGGTCTCGGCCTGTTCGTCCTTCCACGTATGGCATGTAGACGATGACAGTCTAGGGAGCAGATATGAGTCTCCAGTCCTTGGAATCCTTCCTCAGCTCGTCTTGCCTAGTCTCCCTAGGGTAGGCTACCGGGGGGACATAGACTGAAGTTCACAATCTTCCCAATCAACCTCTGTCTGGAGAGAAGTCTAGTCCCAGTTCGTATTGCCAATGTCCCGCGGCGTTCTTGTCTTGGAAACAGCTAGTCTCTACCAGGCTTCGAGAAGCGGCTGGAAAGAGTAGAAATCGGCCCAATGGAGAGATAGCATGCCAAGGGAGTTGGTGCTGCTGGAGAAAACAGTTTGCCGCTTCGGTTCCAGCCGCTTCCCGGTGCCTGGTAGACGCTAGGAAATTGCTATAAGTAAACGTAGAATGACGCCATGTCGATATTCCTCGGTGTTGATGTAGACAAATTTTCCAGTCTCTCACTAAGTCCTAGCGTGTTGCTTTGTGTCCAGGAGAACTGTAGAATGCACGTTACACAACCCGGCGTGCCAACTGACAGATTTCAAAAATAGAGCGCGAGCGTTGATTGGCCCCCTTTTCAAACCACATACAAGAAGAAATGCATGCAATTGGCTGTTAGGGTTTACAGATCACTGCAAGAATAACGACCGAAACAAAGGGCTGTGAAATGTCCCAGTTGTCTATTGTGAAAAAGATTCACGCTATAAAGCTTAAACAACAATAAACCCTATAGGCTAATCTTACGCCAAAATGCGCCGAAACGTTACCACGTCTGCATATGCGTAACACATAATACATATGCAGTTTACCTGTGTAATGTTTACAACTTCTTGTTCAAGAAAATGAAATAAAAACAAGGAAGTTAAATTAAGGCTCCTTTACAAAAACCAAACATGGTAAACAGGGATATTTTTGAACATACTGGCGCCATCACGTCTGACCATTACACCACAATACACATCTAACAACAACGTACAGGTAAACCTAGCATCTTTTGTCTCTTTCAAAAATCTTTTTTACACAACAGTGGGCAAATATTTGAAAAACGCCAAGGGGGCCTCCCTCGTCACCAACGAAAGCGGATATGTTTGCAAGTGAAATATATCAAGGTCGAGGTTATCCAATAGCCTAGTTTGGGAAAATTCTGACCAGTAATTGTGTTTTTTCCCTATTATATACTGTAGATTCAATATGGCGCCGACATAATACGGCGTTAATTTATGCAGAAAGCCGAGCTACCAGACAAAGAAATCAGTACATTGTTAGTTAGCAAGGGTTATAGTCGATATGGTAATATTCAAGTAAGTTTGGAAATTCGAAACAGATACATCGGAAAAATACTGCGTAGCATTACAATATCTCTTAGTTAAACCAAACAAAAACTAATCATGATCACTTATGACTTCCACTAATAAACACAATTTTTGCAGTAGAAATTTCAAAATTGCACGTCCCCTGCACTTCTAGGCTGAGTTTATAATTTGGCACCCAAACCAAAACGCGCTACAGACGATCGCACGTGATCAATTCTTTAGTTTATCATCTTCAGCTATTTCTTTTCGTTCACAACAACGTGTTGCAAATTATCACTCTATCGGCGTCCGTCGGCGTGCTTTCTTGATTTACCGATAGTATACGCCAAAATGTATCAGGGGTTCACGCCATTTCTAGCAGAAAATTTACTAAAGCGGAGTGATAATTATTTCTATTGTACATCCATGCGCTGTAGGGCCATGTACAGAAAACATTAACGACATGTACTAGTATAAACTTTGGGAAACTCTTAGACCCCGGCGTTCATATCAAGCTTTGCATATCCTGCTAGATTCTTTAGCGGCGGTCAATCTATATAGCCTGGTGTAGACGCAAAATAGTCTGCTCTGTAAAGCCAGACTCGCAAAGGCACTATGTGTAAACAAACACAACAAAACTGCTTATAGATTGCCGTGCCTATTTTCTTAGGATGGTTACTCCATTGTGACGATAATTAGTCAGGACACGAGACGTTTCCAACAGTGGGAAATCTTGTACACTTCGCGTGTCCCATTGTGTGCGCGGGTTTCCTACCGTGGACACGCCGGGATGGGACACCCGTGGACACTTATGTACACGGCTAGGACACGTCAGGTTTCACCAACGTGTCCCAGCTTGGAAACTTGTGGAAATTCGGGAATTCGTCCAGTGGCATCCAATGCAATGAAGACCCCAAACCTAAAGCGTGCAGGCGAATAAAAACCTCCAGCCAAAATGCTGCTAAACCACAGGAAAACAAGGCTAGTATTGTGAATTTTCAGTTGTTGTACATGACTACTTTCACAACAAGCTATCACCTCCTGGCGTTTTGCAGCCTTAAATGAAATTAGTGTGACTGTAATGTTGGAATACATATTCTAGCCACATATATATTTCACGGTCGTTCTAAAGAATAAGATATCTCCCAGCCATAGCCCCATTCGCTATTACACTTTTAAAGCATATTCACATCTTTTTTCCTACATTTTAATGTAGGCAGGGCAGTCCTCCTTTTACTGTCTCGTTTTATTTTTCTCATTTTTCCCTTCCCCAGATAATATGTCACCGTTCCCGACTTTTGGTGTGACCAGCATCAGCATAGACAAGTCCGGTGTGGGCAACAAAGCCCAAGTCGGTAAGTGCAGAACAGGTTGGACTCTACTTCAATAGCCAGGTAGTCCTAATTCTGAGATGATTACTAGTACGTATACAGCATGGATTGTATGTTTATGGCCAGGTTATATAATGGAAAGGTCCTTACCAGTACAGATAATAAAGTATATATCAATGCACACCGCCATATCTAAACAGTATCTGCCTTGCAAGTTACCTCTCTTTCCTGATTAACCTGTTTGCTACGTCGATAAAGGTTAGACATCCAGGTATGAGATACTCAAGGAAATTCTGACTCAAGCAAATGGGTGGATTTTGAAAACTGTCAGACGTTTCAAGTAGCATCCAGCACTTTTCGTCAGTAACTGACGAAGAGTATAGGATACTATTTGAAATGTCTGACATATATTTTGATATGATAGCCGTTGCAGTGTGGTAACTTTGACCTTGCCATCTGACCTTGAACGATGACTCCATATAGACCACGTCTTTTGGACTTATAATGCAAAGGGGAGTGGTAAATAATCAAATATGGATCTCTTTAGATGTAACTTGATGGACTGATAATACAGGAACTAAGAATTACAAACATAACAATTTTGCTTCGATATGTCATTTCTATGACAAGTCACGAGCCTTAAAAATTCGATTTTTGGTAACAATTCCCTTGTAAACTAATGAAGCTACACTAGTGAAGCTAATGAAGACACGCTAACAACAGTGAAAGAGGACGGGTCCCTGCAGGTTAAGATATACCGCAAACCCACACATACTGACCAATATTTAAACTTCCATTCTAACCACCCCCTGGAACATAAACTCGGGGTTATCCGCACCCTGTTCCACAGGGCGGAAACAATTATTACTGACTCCCAAGACTTAGAAGAGGAGAAAGCTCACATTTCACAGGCACTAAGAAAGTGTGGGTACCCCACTTGGGCTATAGATAAGGCCAATAGTCCAAAACCCACAGTCGGTAACCAGTACCAGAGTAAGAACAAGAGCCCGAATAGAGGCCTAGTTGTCCTGCCCTACAGAAAAGGCCTGAGTGAAGGGCTCAGGAGGATCTTTGCTACATACGGGATTAAGACCTGTTTTAAACCAACCAGAACCCTCCGGAACATACTGGTTTCACCAAAGGACAAAACACCAAAAGAAAGCAAATGTGGGGTGGTGTACCACATACAGTGTCAAGGACAGAATTCCAAGGGCCCATGTAAGGAAACCTATATCGGAGAGACTGAAAGATCGCTCAAGGCTAGGTTCCTAGAACACAAACGACCTAGCTCAACTACCTCTGAGGTTTCACAACATATACATATAGAATCCCCTGGACATTCAGTCTCACTGGACAAAGTAAAAATCTTGGACACAGAACCGGAATTTTTTGCACGAGGGATTAAAGAGGCCATCTACATCAGGGCTTTACAGCCATCCCTCAACAGAGACGGGGGGCGCCACAGACTTTCTGCAACCTATGATCCACTGCTCACGGAGTCACGTGTGTTATCTGCGTGACGTCACGGAAGCGGTGGATTGCTCATTCCTTGAAAAAGACTGGAGTTGTACAGTCGAAAATTTGGGTGAGTCCAATTTTTTGTTGTGTTGGAAATTACAGTTTAAACTTACTTCATAATGAAGCAAGTTTAAACTGTAATTTCCCACACAAGAAATTGGACTCACTCAAATTTTCGACTGTACAACTCCAGTCTTTGTCAAGGAATGAGCAATCCAACGCTTCCGTGACGTCACGCAGATAACACACGTGACTCCGTGAGCATTGGATCATAGGTTGTGGCGCCCCCCGTCTCTGTTGAGGGATGGTTGTAATGCCCTGATGTAGATGGCCTCTTTAATCCCCCGTGCAAAAAAGGCCGGTTCTGAGTCCAAGATTCTTACTTTGTCCAGTGAGACTGAATGACCAGGCGATTCTATATGTATATGTTGTGAGACCTCCGAAGTAGTCGAGCTAGGTCGTTTAAAATATATATGTGGCCTTATTGGCTTATTGCAGCTGGAGGATCCGGGATGAACACTGTGATCTACATCGCTGCTGGAGCCGGCGGCGGGGCGGTGTTCTTCATCGCCATCTTGGTGTCCCTCGGCATCATCATCAAGAAGTAAGACCATCAGTCGACTAGAATAACAAAGTTCTGCATTCATAACCACTTGTTCAAAACAAGTTTAGCCCGTGGATCTTTTCAAACCAGTGGTTATGAAGACAGAACTTTGCTATTCAATAATTCACAAATAATTCACGCATGTATAAGACCGTAAAGATTTTCTTGTGACTGCCGGCCAAGAGTACTCAGTGGTCATTGCCCAATGGACCAACTCTTGACTGACAGTTACCACCAAACAAGTGGTAATGATTTTTGCCATAGGAAGATCTGCTTGGAAAGTAGTCACAATAAGAGCCCAGTTCTTCTGAAGCACAATTATGCGGTACTTTCTAACACAATGAAAAAATAACGGGTAAAATGGGAAATTGGACACGTTTTTGACTGAATAGCTCTTTGCCTTTCCTTTTCCAAAATGGCGGTTGAAATTACAATTCTGGTCTGTTTCAGAAAGACTGAGCTGTTTTTGTGAATCTAGCAAAGTAATCTCCAAGCAGATCTTCCCCTGGCAAAATCGTACACAGAACTTTACCTACGGCAAAAACGTTTTGACATGTAAATAGCATGACGTTTATGTCTCAGGGGTCTTCAAATTTGACATATTGCCCACAATGCACCACGCAACTTTGATTACCCACAATGCATCATGGGAACATGAACACACACTTCCGGGCTACAGTGGTCCTCTCGGGGCGCACTTTGACGGACGTCAGAGAACAATGGCGGGAGAAATTTGGTCTTAACGTCGATGAAGGTTAGACAGCCAGGTAATACGATACGCCAAAAAGCAGTTACTCAAGCAACTATCCAAAATCATATCCAGTTGCTTGAGAAACTTGGTCTTTATTTCCCAGGTGTCGCCGCATGCGCAGTGCTCACGGTACAGCCGGCCGGCCCGGGGGTCCCTCCGTCACACTAACCGCCTGGTGAATAATTTATGTCTCCAAGCAGATATTGGGAGGGAAAATCGTCGCACTTTTTCAGAGCCAACATTTTCACTATTTTTCATTGCCCACATTTTTCAATGTCTTTTTTTCAGTGTCCACATTTTCACTATTTTTCAGTTCTCATATTTTTCACTGTCTGTTTTTCAGTGCCCACATTTTTCAATGTCTACTTTTCAGTGTTCACATTTTTTCAGTGTCTATTTTTCAGTGTCCACTTTTTTAAATGACTACTTCTCAGTGCCTACATTTTCAGTCTATTTTTCAGTGCTCACATTTTTTTTAAATGTCTATTTTTGCAGTGCCCACGTTTAAAAAATATTTTTTCAGTGCCTACATTTTTCATTGTCTATTTTTCAGTGCTCACATTTTTATGTCTATTTTTTCTGTGCCCACATTTTTTCAACGTTTATTTTTCAGTGCCCACATTTTTCAATGTCTATTTTTCAGTGCCCACATTTTTTCAATGGCTGTTTTTCAGTGCCCACATTTTTCTCAGTACCTCTCTTTCTTCTTTTCTTCATTTTAATTATACTGACGTTCTAGCTGGTAGCGATGCAGGCCTACCTCACTCTTCTATACCCATTGCTTTCTTCTTGGCTCCCTGCTAGGTGTTAAACCTAACTCCTCGCATTCGCATTCAAGTCCGTATTGGGAGGTTTTGTGCGTCAGAAAAAAGGATTTTGCTCCAAGATTTTTACTGTTTTTTCCTCCCAACATCTGATTAGAGATTGAATAATTCTTGGCTGTGCTATGCAAATGTGTTCATGTATGACGAGTTATTCCAAGTTACAAATGCGATGTTAAACACCAGTCTTTCAACTTCTGACAATTGAAATAAACTTTGTTGGGACCTTTGATCTAACTTCCTGTCAGCGCCCAAACGTGCCTTTCTTGTGGAAATAAAGGTGCCCAATCCTTTTGAAGGAGGACAAGAATAAGCCCTAAGGCAGAGCAGACCATGAAATTTCCTTCCTCCAGCACATTCATTCTATTTAGGTTAATTATTTTATATTCTGTTTCGTCCGATTGTTATATTTATTTTCTGTATTGTTTTTTTTATCTTTTACGCATGTGCAAATGAAAATAAACAAAATAAACAAAAACAATGCAGTTTTAGGGCTTGGGAACCAGATGTTTCAAAGTCAACATTCTAGCCAATCATCTATGACTTACGCCACTTGATCGCATATTATACTAGCACTTGATGTTTTATATTTTAGTAACTAGGATGCTAAGGTTCATTTCATACCCTTTTCTTTTTGTTATATGTTCAATAGTCGTCATACATTGTGCCGTGTACAATTGTCTTGCAATGAAGTTCTGTCTGTCTACATACTACAAGTAAGTTGAAACAAGAAGCAACTTGAGACACAGCGAAGCAAAACCTTCCTACACGAAGGTAACAGCTAAGTACATGCATGTACTATGTAGGTGGTTGTCTTACAGTAGATGTTGTTGGGAGGGCCAAAAATGCAAAGAGTATAAATCTTACAATGCCCCCTCCTAAAATTAGCTTGGATAGTTGACTGCAGTCAAGAGTTCTTTATCCGCGGCCAGTTGTTCATAACAAGAGCCAAGAACGTTTCAATGACCGTCTGTCTTCTTCATCTGGGAAATGTTGACTGGTCCATTTCAGATATCTGATGAAGATGACAGACATTCATCAAAACGCCTGCTGCTGTTTTTCTTCAATTCCATGATCCAACATTTATTACAAGACATGGCGACGGCACACTCAGTTTTTTTTTATTATTTCTATGCCGCCACCAACGCAGACAAACGCGTGAACGCACAACAGACGTACTCATTTTCATCTGAGTAAAGTGAGGAAATTCGCGTTTTGCCTTTCCAAGGACGCAAGATCGATGGCATGGCCGGATTCCGAACGCTGTGTTGCTACACTATGTGCACCGCCTGCTCTTGTTAAACAAGTGGTTATGAATAAGAAATTTTGCTTTTTGATCATTCAGTAACCTGATAAAATCATTGACAAATTCGTAGCGGTAATTCAGATAAGCGGGTGTAGTGCTTTTGGCTACCGAAGGAAACCGGCTAACATTTGTTGTGGGGTCGTGTGGGCGTAGCGGCAGCGTGCTCGACTCGGAACCAAGAGGTCCCGGGTTCGAGTCTTGACATGCCACCGATCTTGTGCCCTTGGGAAAGGCACTTTACACGACTGTATTGTTTTGTCCTGTATTCGTCCTCTGCGTTGGTGGTGACATAAAATAAGTTGATATAACTTGAGTGTGCCGTCACCATGTCTAGTCATGAAATGTTGGAATAAAAAAAAAAAACAGCTAACAGCCCGATACTAGCCTGGCTTCCAGGTTTTGTTTTTAGAGATGTCCATGTTGTTGTCCAGGCGCCGTGAGGACTCCCAGGCCGGGCAGCCCGGCGCGGCCAGCGTGAGGAAGCAGCCGATGTCGGCGGGCGGAGGGCCTCCCGGACCCGCCGGACAGCC